TCAAGATCCATGGGACTGTTTCAACATTGAATTACGACATATTCTCTTCCTGTTTGCTAAAGGGTAGATGGGTCGCGATTGAAAATTACATGGTTTTTAATGAGACCGGACGTTACCGTGCTACTAAGCATCTCAGTAGATTATTGTTTTTGAACACGACTCGTGTCAGTCAGTTCTTTCATCCTTGTCTCTGTAACTTCTTTGATTTTTTGAATTTTCAAATGATTCTCGACCGAGTCCACAATGATGATTACTTAGTTGGTTAGCTATACTTTTGACCTTCTCGTATTCTTATTCTTCATTTACCATTCTATGTTTAAAACTTATTTAGTTTTTTCAAAACTTTTAAATGTTTTGGGGCAGATCAGATTGGCGAAGTCTTGAATATTAAGGAGTATAATTGTTGGGGTGGGCTCGTGTGTGATAGGGGTTCTATGTATTCAGGTCGCAGTGACTTAGAGACTATTACTTTTGATCTCAGGGATGTAAGGTTTGTTCATCTGTTCATTACTGTGTTATGGTTCCATTTTGTAATTAGCTAATATTCGTTATTGTTTCCAGTGGTGTTTCTCTTAGGTGTAAACTGTCTGGTGCGGTGGCAGATCGGTTTTGTGCTGATTGGCCCAGGTATTCGGTTGATGTAGTTGTTTGCATGGTTAGGTGGGGTGTCATCGATGTTCATGCAGGTATTGATATATGTATATATCGTGTATTCTTAATTTGTAGTTGTCTCTTATGGGTTTATGTTCGTTGCTTGTTTCTGTCTTAGGGTGTGTTACCATTTCGACAACGTATCCTACACGTTTCATACTGGATCCTTTGATTGTTGAAGCTGAGGATTTCAGGAGCAGGTTGGGATTTGAAATTATTCATAATCATACTGTATCGATCAACTTTTTGTTAGTCATTTATTAATCCGGAATATATTGTTATCGTAGTTTGCCAAATAGAGGTTTATCGGTGAGGATACGGGGTGTTCTGGATAAATGATCAAGTGTGCGATGACCTTTGGACACGTATCGTTTTATTGGGTTTTTAGATTTTTGACGGTTGTTTTTTTTCTTTTTGATTGGGATTGGTTTTTGTTGGTTTTACCTAATATGGTAAATTTATATCCATTATTACATCTATATTATTATTTATGAGAAATCTGCGATTTATCTATAGTCATAAGAACTTACGTTTGTACATTTTTTTTTTATAATTTAGATGTTCGGTTCAAAAAAATGACAAGTTATCGTCTCTTTATTTATTTTAGATGTCTGGTTCTAAAAATGAAGGTGTAGGTGAAGGTAGTTCAAAAAGAATGAAATGTGAGGATGGTTCAGCACAATCTGGTAGCTCTCAGTCAGTTAACATTGAAGATGATGACCTCCTGACTCGACCTTCTAGTGTTAAAGCAGCAAAAGCGAAAGCTACGAGCTCTGTGGAAGAACAAAGCAAGTGTCTGTCAGAGTTTCAGACCATGTGGGAGATAAAGCAGAAGGACTTGACCATGAAGGATAAGCTTTCAGATAAAAAGTTGCTTGAAAGCCTCCTCGGCAAAAGAGAGCCACATTCTGATATAGAAATGACTCTAAAGTATAAGCTAATTCAGTACATGTTGTCAAAGTCTTGAATTCCTGAAACTCTTGTATGATAATTAAGTTTATGAAATGAAATTTAAGTTTACGAGATAAAATTTAAATTTCAGTTTAAGTTCAGGCCATTGTCTTTCAATTTTAGTTTGAACTACTTGTGTTTTTACTCACTTTAAAGTTTTGTATATTGTTTTAGTTATTGAGATTGATATTTGATTGGTTTGATGGTGAAAGAAGTGCATGCAGATTATGAGATCTGCTTTTTGTGTTTCTGTTTCAGACAGGAAGAGAGAAGGTTTGCTTCTCGGGCAGCACTTAAGGGAACACCGTTATCTTCAAGATGAAATTGAGAAGGTGTGCTTCTTTCATTGTCATCCCATCTCTTATGCGTTATGCGTTTTGGTTTCTTTTGTTTGCAGTGGTGTTGCATAAAGTGAGATTGTTGATGTTAGATGGAGAAGTGCAACGATCAACTCCTTTGTTTAGCAGGAGCTTCTCCTCGGTTTCATTAAGTTTAAATTTAAGTTTGAGTGTAAACTTAAGTTTAAGTTTAAGTTTTTACTCACTCTAAATTTCTGGTTCTTTGCAGGTGCGAAAAAGACAAGAAGATTGTGGCTGTCTAATTAGTAGAAGAAAAAGACAATATGAATTCAGAATCACACGGTAAAGAATTTGTTTTGTATTCTTGTATCACTAGTAATGTGGCTTTTCAAGCATTTATTTTGAATTTTTATACCATTAGTATTTTCTACCACAAATAATTTGGCATTTCAAGTATTTGTTTTAGATTCTTGTAGTACTAGTATTTTGTACCACAAGTTTTTACTTTATGTATGACCACCACAAACAACATCAACTCCTTTGTCTATATAAATAAAACGTAAAACTAACATTTTTCAACATCTATTTTTCCATTTCCTCTTTTCCATCTCTGAACACATTCATCTTTTTTTCTTTTACAAGAAATTATTCATTATTTTTGGCACATCGTTATGGTTTTTTCTTTACAAATTATACACAATTAAAAGAAGATAACTAAGTTTTTGAATAGCATGAGTGAAATCTTGTTGATGATATTCTTATTTATGGTATCTGAAATACAAAACTGAAAAAAATATGAAAATTTTAAAACTTTAATGCGGTTTAGAAAGAGACGATAATATGTGATTGCTTGATGAACCTAATGCAGGTTCAAATGCCTATCTCCATGCATTTACACTTTTTGAATAATCATTCTGACTTTTTTTCTTTCTCGCAACGTTAATATGATGTGAATTAGAAAATTATATATTTTCAACATCTACATTTAAAAAAGGATTTGAATTAACCACATGGAATTAGATAGCAAGAACAACCAATTATCTATTTGAGTTTTCTTGGTTCGGTTAAACCTTTTATCTCGTAATTGTGTCCTAAGCTTCCCACTTTGGCCATGCCTATCTTCACAGCTAGACCTCGATGGATCACTTTCTAGTGATTGAAAATATGTTCTTAGCAAATTTTAGTTTATGTTTTGATGAATTGACTCTTTTTAAGTCTACCCAATATTTGTCTTGAGGATATGGACGTCCACACTTGTACTATAGGCCACTTTATGCCAAACGATAGGTACCAAGGAAAAGAGGTTTTGGTATAAAATATCACTTTCAGTTATTTTCTTTATTGTTTATTCTTATACGGTTTTTTCTTTCTTTTCACACGCCAATTATTGAAGCAGAAGACATTTCATTTTCGTTTACTATTATTTTGTCTATATATTGATATTTTTTCATTATACTAAGAGGTTTGAATTTACCATAGATTATGTCAGGAAGTAAGGACCACTATACTACTAACATACTTCACACAGTATAAAATTTAAACAGATACAAAGAACTTGACCCAAATTAAAAAATCCTTACTTCCACTTGTTCGTTTTATTTAATTTATCATCCTATTACAGAGTATTTTTGTCATTCATTATCTCTACACGACGACTACACATATCCCATTTCCGTCCACGTCCTTTAATTTGGCTTTAGTGTGTATTAGCCATCTTTGATCTTTGCCCCAATATATCGATTATTTTTAAGCAACTTAAATATAAGAATTACTTATATTGTTTCTTCTAAACATTTTCCATTGATATTATAGTATTGGTAATGTCGGTAACTAATCTTGATATATTATCGGCCATGTCGATCTTCCAAGTCTAGAAAATATCTAAAATACATGAACTGTCTTTAGTTTTATCTGGCATGATTTAAACCTCATGTGTTTATACCGAACTATATTGAAATCCATGTTTGGTATCAAGATATATATATATAGCTCTTTTTTTTTGTTGATATAAGATTAAGATATCATGTGTAGCTCTTGATCAAGAGATTCCACTGCCAACTAAAAAAGTTGTAGGGTATCATCATGTAGTTAGGTCTAAAAACGTTACCTAAAATCATCGATCTATCCTCCGTTGTTATCCATTGATTGACATTACAAATTTACAATCGCAATAGTTGTATCTCGCCAACATTCTTGATATTCTCTAGTGCATAGTACTCTATCCGCAGTCACGTCTTTGCTTTGGGATAAAGCATAGAAATGGAATATTAATTAGAATCCAAAAAGGAATGTGACAAATGGCAAGTGGAAACAAACAGTATGAAGCATATAGTTGATATAAAATAATCAGAATAAATATGGTTTTTTTTTTTTGAACTTTTTCTTAAGAACAAATATGGTTCATGTGAAACATACGATTGTTCTTTCAAAATGTAGTTTTTAACAACAAAAAATGTACAAAGAATGAAATATATATATAATATTGAATAATGATCATAATAATTAGGGGTGAGGCGAATCCAGGGGGAAAAAAATTAAAATTCGAAAAAATATAATGATCGAATGAAACATGTTCGATGAAAGAAGTCTGTATACATAGAGAGATATATCATCATGATGAGGTTTCGGATAGATGAATTTATAGAAGTTGATGCGTTGAGATGCTAATTAAGGTCAACTCTCTCATGTTATGTATCATTAGTGACTCATTTTCACTTCCATCATAAGAAAAAGAGTGCAGAGTCTTTGTATATCATTTCGGAAAAACTTGTATTATTTTGCACATGTCATGGCTTTTTAAGGCTGTCAAAAGGAATTTCACAAAATCTAATATTTGAATTGGGCTTTTACAGGCTTTAAATTGTTAGACCCAATAATGAACTACCACAAAAGGCCTGGTGGGTCACTCTGATAATTAGTAACGATAAACGATATTACGACAGTACCACCAAGAGCAGCTGTTCCTGCAATTTCGGTTAAGGGATTTCATCTTCTTCTTTGCCTATCCTTCAAGATTTAGGGTTTTTTTTTCTTCCCTTTTTCATTCCTTTTCCCTAATTCCCAAATCCTCTTTGAGCGAAGGATTTGCGTTTGGAATATATGAAGAGATCAATGGGAAAGAAGGATACAAGTTTCTTAGAGCAATTGATTCTGTACGTCGCAGGCGCTGCATTGACTAGCTTAACTCTATACGTCGGTCTCCGTCAGCTTGACCCGAATCGCGACGCCGCTAAGAAGGCGCTCAAGCACAAGCGAGAACTCGCCAAGCGTCTCGGTCGTCCTCTTATCCAGACCAATCAATACGAGGTAATTCTTAACTCTCATCGGTGTTTTGAGATTGAATTCGTTCGATTTGGTAGTTTCAATCGAAGCATTTCAACTTGAAAATCTGAGAAATTGAATCACGGATTAGGAGGGAAAATGTTACTCATTTGTTCTCGTTTTATGTGAGAACAGGATGTAATTGCTTGCGATGTCATAAACCCACAAAACATAGATGTAGAGTTTGGTTCTATTGGAGGCTTGGATGCAACGAAGCAGGCTCTGTACGAGCTTGTGATTCTACCTCTTAAGAGACCTGAGCTGTTTGCTTATGGAAAACTGCTTGGCCCTCAAAAGGGTGTGTTGCTCTACGGTCCTCCTGGAACCGGGAAGACGATGCTCGCTAAGGCTATAGCCAAAGAATCAGAAGCTGTTTTCATCAATGTCAAGGTTTCGAATCTGATGAGCAAGTGGTTCGGTGATGCACAGAAGCTTGGTATGTGTTTTAGCTCTCACGTTGATATTACCCTTTTAGCTGCGTTTAGTTGTGTTTACTAATACATATGAGTTTTGTTCTGTTTCTCCTTAGTGGCTGCTGTGTTTAGCTTGGCGTACAAACTCCAACCTGCGATTATCTTTATCGACGAGGTGGACAGCTTTCTTGGCCAACGCCGTGCAACGGATAACGAAGCAATGGCGAACATGAAGACTGAGTTTATGGCTTTATGGGACGGGTTTACTACAGACCGTGAGTTGAAAATGCAAAACTCTTGTTCTTAACTGTCCTGTTTTATCCTCTGTATAATCTAAAAAGTTTGATGCTTTTGTGTTAATGTAGAGAACGCGAGGGTGATGGTTCTTGCTGCAACTAACAGACCTTCAGAGCTCGACGAAGCGATACTGAGGCGGTTCCCTCAGTCCTTTGAGATCGGGATGCCTGATTGCAACGAGAGAGCTCAGATATTGAAAGTGGTTTTGAAAGGAGAGAGGGTCGAACCGGGTATCGACTATGACCGTGTAGCTCGGTTATGCGAAGACTATACCGGATCGGATATCTTTGAGCTCTGCAAGAAAGCAGCTTACTTCCCAATCAGAGAAATCCTAGAGCTGGAGAAGAAGGGCATAGAGATATCGGTAAGTAAGAAACTCAAAAAGCTTCTGATTTTTCTGAATAGTACTGAATGTTTGCGTTTTTTTTTTCTTTTTTCCAGGAGCCGAGGCCATTGACACAGGTGGATTTGGAGAAGGTTCTTGCTACTTCAAAGAAGACTCAGGTTGCTGCAAGTGAGTACTCCGGTTTAAGCTCGCAGTCTTCGGTTTGGAGAAGCCCAAGGGATAGCGACGAGGTCCAAGCGGTTATTAATGGCATCTCCAAGCTTTTTGTCTCTCGGATTGTAAACAGTCATTCAGATTCTAATGAGCGTGAGATAGAAGGGGATTCTGAATAGAAGAAAGCTGAGAGATTTGTATAGCAACAAAAGTATACTCAAGGAATTTATATTTTGTTTTTGTTTTTTTTGATGGCTGAATAAGTTGAGAGCTTTTCATTGTTATTTCGGAGTTAGAAAAAGCATATCATTTGATTCCTTTTGGATGTTTTTAGGAAATTTAAATTCACTTGAACTTCGTTTCTTCTTTTTGCCATCTGAGAACAACATTACATAAATTCACTGTCCATATCTGATAGATAAAAATGGCAGCTTTTTGAATAATGGCATCATAAAGTAAGTTTTGGCAGATTGTTAATGACAATAGTCGCATCTGGGCTTGAATCTGTAACAATCTAATTGGGCTTTTATAGTCAACTTTGAGATAAAGTTTCACTTTTTTTTTTTGTTCTCCTTCTTCCGATCGTCTCCAACTTAACTGTCAGAATTTTCGTCGATTTGATCGATTCTTCTCATCTCTCTCCGATTGAAATTCGCGCTTGATTTTCACCTCCGAAGGTACATAACGTTTCAGTTGTTCAATCGAATCTAGCTTTGTGGATCTCAGTTAATCTCGATCAAGTCTTATTCTCATTAAATTCATTACACATTGATTTGGTAGTTTCTGGGGTTTCTTTGATTACTTCGTCATCTATTGAGATTAGGGTTTTGTTTCTATTCTCGGTAATCCTAACTTAAACCGTGAGCCAGAATTCGAATCGAGCTTAAAAACCAAACCTTTTTGGTGTTTCAAGTTGGAAATGCTGCTGATTTTGTTCCGTTTGTTGGATTCTTATGATTCTGAACAGGTTATTGCGATCGGGATCGAATCTTCTGATCATGGTTAGTGCTCTTAGTAGTTGTGTCCTTCAAAGTTTCCCTTCTTTGCTTTGTAAAATTTTACTAAAGTTTAATACTTTTAATGGTTTTTATATCACAGAATTATCTTCTTGGAGCTTTCAAGCCGGCTTGTAATATTTCAATCACATTTACTGATGGGAAAAACCGTAAACAGGTGCACATTTCTCTTTAGATTTATTCGTTTTTTGCTTCTCTTATGGATATATTAGCAGCCAAGAATACATTTTTCGTTCCGGGAATTAGACTTTGTTTCGCACTAATGCAACCATTTTGCTCATCTCGAAGTTTCGTGGCCTGTGAATGAAGTTAGGTTACGGGTTTTCTTACTATCTGACTTGATCACTGTTGCGCTTAGGTACCCATTAAGAAAGATAATGGACAAACAGTTATGAATCCACTTTTCCAGAGCCAAGAAACTATTGCTGGGAAGGTACTTTGGTTTTTGTTGTTATCTCTAGTCATCAGAAGTTTGATGTTGAAGCTGTAGGGAATTGTTTTAAAGTAGTTTTTTTCCTTAACTCGTCTTTTATAGGTTTGCATTGAACCATATCAAGGGAAAAAGGTGGAGCACAATGGTGTTAAAGTTGAGCTTCTTGGTCAAATAGGTGTGCAATTGCTGTGACTTGTGTCGTTTTTGTTATCTTGTTTCAAACTCATTTCTTTATATGCTTATTGATGAAATTTGTGTTTATCTTGTTTCACAGAAATGTACTTTGACAGAGGAAACTTCTATGACTTCACTTCCTTGGGTGAGTCAAAACTTAGGGTTCTATCATGACATGGATCTGTTCTTTTGTTCAGTAGTCTCTTGATTATAAGTAGCTGATCGGATCCTACTATCTTTGTGGTTCAGTGCGTGAGCTTGATGTACCAGGAGAAATATATGAAAAAAAGGCATACCCTTTTGAATTTTCAAGCGTTGAGATGCCGTATGAGACGTACAACGGCGTGAATGTGCGGCTAAGGTAATGTCATATTCTTATTTGACATCAGATTGAAACGATTTTGAAATTTTGCATATTGTAGTACATAATTTTTTGTTTCTGTTATCTTCAGGTATGTCCTCAAAGTAACAGTTACGCGTGGCTATGCTGGAAGCATCGTGGAATATCAGGACTTTGTGGTACGTTTTCTTCAATTTTCTCCTCTGTCTTTGTAGCATGATGGTGTTTAAGATGGTATGTTTCATGGCTTTGAAACAGGTCCGTAACTATACTCCACAACCTCCAATGAATAACAGCATCAAGGTGAGTTCTAATATGATCCATGTTTCTCATTTTAGGATAAGATTCTAGAGCCCAAACTCTCTTATGTTTTCACTTTCACATTGCTATTAGCATTTGATATGCTTAATACCATTGGACCCTTACCCGTTGTACAGATGGAAGTTGGAATCGAGGACTGTCTCCATATCGAATTTGAGTACAACAAAAGCAAGTAAGAGAGATTCATTTTCATAGTTTCAAGTTCAAGTGAGAAGGAAAATTACAAACAAGAGCTAAATCCATATGCTCTGGATATGCAGGTATCACCTGAAAGATGTTATCCTCGGGAAAATATACTTTCTTCTGGTGAGAATCAAGATAAAGAATATGGATCTTGAAATCAGACGGCGAGAATCAACGGGAGCAGGAGCTAACACTCACGTCGAGACAGAAACACTAGCCAAATTTGAGTTAATGGATGGTGCTCCAGTAAGAGGTATTGCAGAAATATTTAATCGAATATCCTCAAAACTCACTCAGACCTTTTTGCTCGTTTTGTAACCAAGTATTGAGACATTGTGCAGGCGAATCGATACCTGTAAGATTGTTCTTGACACCATACGATCTGACACCAACGCATAAGAACATAAACAACAAATTCAGCGTTAAGTATTACCTGAACCTTGTGCTTGTTGATGAAGAGGATCGCCGTTACTTCAAGCAGCAAGAAATCACATTGTACAGGCTCAAGGAGGAGACATCTTGATGTCTTACAAAAAAAGACGAGCGGAATGATAACTTTTCAGAACTTTGTAAAGCCTTATTCTCAAGACTTTTTTTTTTCTCTGTATGCAATTGGTTTGGGGACTTAAGAGTGATGAATTTCAATCAGATTTGTAGTTTGTTCAACGACCCAAAATGTTATTTGCTTCGTTTGGATTCTTGTCTTCATCTTTTACGTTTTACCTTTCTATAAATCTACTTATTTTTGTCATATAATACTTTCTGCATATAGAGATCAGAGTACCAATGGGAAATGTTTTTTAAGTAACACAAATAGTTACAAAAAAAAAAAAAAAAAAAACAAATGTAAATTAAGATGCTGATCTTGAACACAAATCTTGGTTTAGAAAACAGGACAACCATCAACAATCACACCTTTAGCAGTTGGACATTTAGCAACAGGACAACCTTCACCAGCGTTTCCCCACCAGTTAAGCGCAATTTCACTACGTTGCAACGCCAGAAACAAAAGCACAGTCATGAACCCAGTTCCTGCATCCATTCCTCCAGACAGGACATAGTTGTATCTCTGCCACCACGATCTTCTGTACTTAAACACGACGTGTCCGAACACAAACGCCATAATGAGCCAGCTCGTGAAGTTAACCGAAGAAGCTGGTGGCATCATAGCCGTGGCTCCAATCAGAACAGGGATGTGAATGCTTGAGATCCATTTCTTGTTTGGGAACATTCTTGTGGCCATGTAGACCAACACTGGAGCTATTGCACCTCCTAGGAAGAACCAGTTTATGTTTGCGTATTCTCCAAGATCTCCAAACATTCTTCTTGGTCCTACAAGTCCCCAGATCACTGATGCGTCGAAGAAGACTCTATCTGTTGGGCAAGTCCAGTGACTTCCTGGTGGAAGGAGAGAAGTGTCGCAGAGGTTTGGGATTTCGGCAATTAGCCACCAAGCTGTTAGTGCGTAAACGAAGACAGCTACTAAAGTCCCCACAACCTGAAGCAAGAACAAAATTTTATCAAATGTTTCTGTGACATTCCTAATAAGAATATGTGGGATAAGATTAAGACTAACCTGTGCCATGAACATGGTTCTTGGTGGGATCTTCATGTAAGTACCAAGCTTCAAATCAGCGAGGAAAGTCAAAGATTGGGACATGCTGATGTAACCGTAAGTCTTGAAGCATATGTTAGCAACAGGTCTCTCTGGATACGCATACCCAATTATGTATTCCGTGATAATGTTCAAACCCGGAGTCTGCAATTCAAAAGGAAAAACCGGTTTAGTCAGCATTACCGGTTTTTACAGCTCAAGTTATACATTGTATGTGTGAGTCTCTATTCAAACCTGATTAGTAGTGGCCATGATCACACCAATGAGAGGAGTGAAGAAGATAGCTATCACACAAGCCAAGAAAGCTCCCCACCAAGGAAGCTGAATCTGTGTATTATAGTAAATACATATGAAGATAATAACTGCGAGATTCACCACGAAAATCGAAAGGAACCACCAGAGAGGAACTTCTTTGTAATTCCTTTTCATGATCTTTGTATGTATATCCATTTTGTGGTTTTTTCGGAGCGCTCCTTTGCTTTGAGCCCAAAGATCTTTGCCGTTGAAAAGCAGGACATGGACAACACTAGCAGTCAAGGTGGCGAAACCGAGCCCGTAAGTAAATGCAAAGAAAGTGCTCATGTGGACCGGTCCGGTCTCTGCGTAGGCCTTATGGTCCAGGCGAAAATCGGCATTGATGATGCTCGTTACGTTGTATTCTTGGCCGCTGGCTACAAAGAGTTTGCCGGAGTATATAGGGAAGGTTTTGGCGTTGAAGAAATCAAGATAGTAACAGAGAGGTGTGATTACGTACATCACAAGAAAGTACCCGACCGCGATATTTGCCGTGGCAAAGAATGGGCTAGCGAATGGGCTTCCGAGGTATGACGCGATGGTCGACCAGTCTATACCGATGGCACCGATACCAAGACCGGCTGACCCCGAACCGAGCTGGTTTACAAGAATCGATTTTGGGCTAATCCAACATAACCAAGAGACGGTGGTTAAGACTGAGAAGAGATAACCGGGAAGAACATAATAGGCGAAGCTGGTGATTAGCGTGATCACAAAGAACTGGTTTCGACTAACTCCCCCTTTCAATGTCTTCTCTTTCTCATGCAACGCTCTGTATTTATGATCAAAATCAGATATTCTTT